TCTTCCTCCCGAAATGAAGCTTCAATTTCCAATGCGAACTCCAAATATAATTGGTGGGATTTGTGGGATCAGACCTTGTTCCAAGCAGCACCTGTTGCGTTAGATCTGATCCCACCATCCCATCGCTAGATTTCTGGTCAGCAGCCGAGTTGTGACGACAGCCACACAACCCTAGTGCTCGGCATGGTCCGTCCTGCCCTCCGAGCAGCCGAGTTGTGTGACGACAGCCACACAACCCTAGTGCTCGGCATGGTCCGTCCTGCCCTCCGAGCAGCCGGGTTGTGTGACGACAGCCACACAACCCTAGTGCTCGGCAGTGGTCCGTCCCTGCCCTCCGCCGTCACCTCACGTATAGCGCGACCGCTGCCATCCACCGCAGGTCGTCCCAGCGCGAGGTAGACGGCGAGCCCTACGCGCCATCGGTGGGTGAATCCGAAGACAGGCGCCCTGACCAGCTTAGCTACCGGGACGAGTATCCTGATGTCAGGGCTGCCGCACAAGTATGAGGGAAACCAGACTGCGTGAGGATATTAGCAGGTTAACGTGAAAGGGTGTGTTATATCGCAAGCGTCGATCGTTAAAGAATGCCTAAAATACGATCAGGCGGAGCACAGCTACCTCACGACTGGACCCTTAAGCGTACGCCGCTTTCGCCGCTAGCAACTCCCTTGAAATTAATCATGTGTTTACCAGCCATGAGGCTACTGCTACGGTATCCTGTATACTGGTCAGCGTGGAGCGTGGATCCAATACCCCGTTTTAAGCGCGTGAACCCAACCCTCTTGTCCATACCACGTGTCAAATTTCTGAGGGGATTCTCTACGTGAATGCGGACCCTGCCAAAATCTCTTAATGCTTCAGTTAACTATAAAAGTAAATTAACAAAAACGAAGTAACAGCGACCCAGCGTGTTTGCTAGTTGTTTGGCAGGCATCATATGAAAATAGGTTCCTGAACAGGTCTGTTGGCTCCCTTTTCGAGTTTGTTGTTAAACAACGTATTATACATTGCAGAGACCATGAGAGAAATTTGGAGCCAAGTTCATATGCACGCTGCGGATGGACAAAATAAATGGCAAAGGCGTTATTCTGAATTTTTGGCGCAACTTTTCTGACAGTGATAATGCAACACTTGGCGATATGTAACAATGAAATCCAATTTAATTTGGTGACAAGGGTGTGGTCACCTCTATGCCTGGCAGTGCAGATTTGGTCGAGATCCGGTTGCTCCGTCCGGACTTATTAAACTTTTCGTGCCTTCCATCAAATCTACGTTATTAAAGCACTATTACGTCTTTCTCTGTAAATCAACAGCCCCGAAAAAACCTGACCAGGCCAATAGATTTCCAAGCATATACGAGCAATAACCACCGGAAAGTGAGCGGCATATCTGGATATATCTGGCCACCGCTGAGGGAAACAGAGCACCGATTGTTCTGCCTGGAAACGCCGACAGCACATCATGGAGACGCCGTGAATGTATGCTTTCTCACGCGTGGTGTGGCCATGATGCTGGAGTCTAGGAACATGCTGTGGGATTACATGGCGGCGACAACTAGTGCATTTAAACCGCTTGCGCGCTGACCCACAACGCGACGAAATTCCCGCCTGTTCTGCCTGTTAAGTCGCATCTGCGGCTTAGTTCTTAGGCCGATGTACTAGGGTGACTGCCTAATGGGATTGTGTCCCAACAGCCACCGGGTCGACTTGGCTCGTCAAAGCCGGCCCACCGGCCGAGAGTCGGCCAGGCTGGTGTGCGATGGTTGTATTATGACGTACGGCAAGAAAAAGATCCTCTCGGACTGCAGTTTAAGTCGGAAGATCGCAAGTAATTGCTCGGACTGTCGTCCTCGCCCGGTGTGTTAGTATGCTCACCGGCATACTTAATACGTGCACATAGAACCACACCAGACGAGGATGATGGTCCACACAACGTTTTCATCCGTGATGCTAATGCCTCGTCCCAAACAATCTACAAAACAGGAATTGCTGCATGAGAGCTATGGTCGGTAACTTAGAAGCAATTCACAGGTATTGCTTAGTAGAGCATGTGATCCCAAACCCATCATCGCAAAACATCGAAACAACTGTCCGACTTTTCCTGGCGCAGTACATGCTGATTTTCACTTCCCAATCATTCGAGGTGATTTTGCTTGGAGACAATATAAAAAGGACTTTCAACGCGCCACATTCGCGCATTTCCTGCGTAGGGTGAAGCAACGAAACCGTCTCGCTGCCGTTCTCACGCACGACTACAGACGCGCCATATGAGCGCGCGTGGTTCATACCTAACTGTTCTGTCACACATGCTATGGAGAGCTTACCGAAAACGTTTCGGCAGTTCTCTTGCCGCTGGCGAAGGTGATGTGCTTGTCCATGACGTCCTTCATGATGTTGGGCATGACGTCTATGAGGGCGGCCACCGTGTACTTGTTCTTCCCCTGCGTGTCAGCGAGCGCCCTCCGGCTGCCAAAATGCACGGCAAATGCATTGTTCTCGGGTACGCAGCAAACAAACACTATGAGCATGCATGCTATACAGGCCATAATTGCTTATACCGTTATTTTGTGGCCTCTTCCGAAAATATTCGGTCAGCATAAAAAGCCCTAGCTACAGGAGGCTGGGGGTGAAGGGAGTAAAAGATTGAACGAATTACTTAAATCAGTATTATTGCTGACGTATTGCTTGACTGAACTAGACTCAAATTTAGCGGTTTTTCTCCGGCGCGCAGCATGTGTAATTGACTACTGCAGTGTATCTGTGGAAATGTCAACGCACTCAAATTTCTTCGGCTCTGACTAGCTCAAGTTTTTTTTAACGTTCCGACTCTTCGTTGAATATCTTTTTATCTTTTTTATTCAGGTGGCGCCTCAAATTCCGTTCACATCACAAATTTACGCCTGCATTAATTCTAAAAGGGCGTTTGTGAAGCCAGCGCTACAGAGTGTCAAGAGGTAGATCATCACCCAGAACTCGTGCTGAGATGCGTGCTCTTTTATGAAATCAAGCCCTTTACATTTGAAATCATGGAGTTCAAAAGGGTTTCTTGATCCCCTAACTTATCATTGTTCAAATTCATCGCTAAGAAAGATATAGCAGGATAGACAAGTGATCGAAAGAACTGTTTGCGCAGACATGGGTCATCAAAGGGCCCACGCCTCCACACCCAAAGGGATTCCACGCCTTCAGACCGAGAGGCGCGGCGACGCGTGTGCACACCTCCGAGACATTAGCGAAGCACCTTTCCAGCAGGCTGTCCGCACACATAAATGACAAAGAAGGCCACAACGTATCGTTCGTTACGACATGCATTTTAAATCTATGCGTACCACGAAACGCTTCAACACAACGCGACGTTCGTAAAATGCATTTATGTCACGTGAACTCATTTAGTCAGCAAGACTGGATCAGCAGCTTGCCAACCGTGCATTGTTCCAGGTCTCGCTGTTCGGTCCAGGCGTTCCCGATGACGTCAGATTCATTGTTCGACTAGTCGCCGTGATGTTGAGGAGAGAATTGGCAAACGTTGCCTAATTCGTTGTGTCTCTTCGTATCCAAAATACCTGCGAACCTAACTGTGAGCGAGCAAACCTACGCTGATTCGCTGTGCATTACCTAACTAATCTGCGTGTAGTTATCGAGGGGAACTCCTCCGCTGTGACGTCAATGCCAGTTACCATTGACTACGCATTTTCCTTAGAAATTATGGCCTAGGCGCAGCCTACAGAAAATAATTTTGCGATATCTCGAGAAGAAACATCTGTTGTGAACTACTGCGAGCTTCCAAAAAGCACTTCCGGTCCAGAAGAGCACTGTCCAATCACGTAGTGTATTACGACCCCAGTACAACTCAAACAGTGGTAACAGGATGGAGAAGGAGACGGGGCAAGAGCAGCAAAGCCGGCCCGGCCGGAGGGAGCTAGGCATCGGACAGGACTGGCCGGGAGTTCCGAGGTGCACCAGAGGTCCGACCGGTCATAGTCGTATTCGCGCCGCGCGGATGTCTAGCGAACCCCCACTTTTATGCTGATGGTTTCCGATGCAGATTCAAGCCACGATTCCGAAAACCGATGTCCTTGGCACATCCAAGCTGTCATGAAATTGGGAAATTGTATTTTTGCAGTGGAAGAGCACAGAAGCCCTATGATAGCGTTTATAAGGAACATTTCTCTACCTCACCGCGTAGAATATTTTGTGGACTACATAATGCGGCATTTTTCAATAAACAGTGCTATGGTTGTGGAACTATCACCGTTTTATTAGGCACAGTTCTGTCAATATATAATGTTCTGACGCTACTTCAAGCGAAAAATCGCTTGGCGTGGAGGTCGAAAAACTTCCAAAACATTGTCAGAACACGGATAACCTATCAAATCAAGTTTTGTTCAGATCCGAGATGGTGGTATGTTCTTGAATGGCTGAGTCGGCATGGACGAACCCAATGTCGCTGGCAGCACCGCGTGCTGATGGAAATCGGGACCAGTGGAATTTCCCTGCGGCAGAAATATGTTTTTTCCCAGTCCAGACCCCCGACCCAGAAGCAATTGAGTGCCGCAGCCATTCGAGCTTGGCCCGTTTCGTTCCGCGTCCCCAGTGCGTGCCACCCCCGCCGGCCGCGTCGGCCGCGGTGCGGCACCTACCTGGCCTGCTCGTTGGTGAGCATAACCCGAGCCACCTCCACCAGCTTGTGCTTGATGCAGATGTCAAGCGCCGTGTAGCCGCCGGCGTTGGCCACCAGCGCGCAGCCGAGCGACAGCAGGAGGCCGGCCGCCGACACCCGGTTGGCCAGGCAGGCCAGGTGCAGCGCTGTGTTCTGCCGCCGCGCCGGCGCGTCAGACACGGAGTACCCGTCCCGTGCTCCACTCTGACACACGCTGGGCGCTTCACAGCAGCTCCTACTCTCTCTCTCTCTCTCTCTCTCTCTCTCTCTCTCTCTCTCTCTCTCTCTCTCTCTCTCTCTCTCTATCTCTCTCTTCTCTCTCTCTCTCTCTCTCTCTCTCTCTCTCTCTCGCTCTCTCCCCCCAGGTCACAAAAAGGCGGAGGAAGTCCATAACTTGGCGTCGGGGTCGGAGTGGCAATGAAAGGCGCGGACGAAGCATAAGAGCGTCGCCGGAGTGAATTGTCGGTGGCGTTCAACAAGAGCTTGGTAATAAAGCCGGAGAGCTGAATGAACTGTGAGAACTGAGAGGGAATGGCAGGGATGAATCGCTGTGCGAATAGCTAGCAGTTCCGGAGTAAAGAGATGTCAGATCAGGCTGCCTCTGGATGTTGGGGCCGAGGGTACGCACAGGTGGGCCTGTTGGCAACAGGGCATGCAGTTAGTTGTGTAGTGGAGCTTGGCGAAAACTCCCGGGTTTAACTGGAACGAGATGGCAGTTGGCGCTTGGCCGTTGGGCTGGCTGGTTCACTAGACGGACCAGGGCCACAGACAGGCCCAGTGCTTAGTCAGCTCTAGGCTATGCTTTACTTAAAGCCAAGGCTTATCACCGAAGATTAGCTGCAGGCCTAAAAGGTGTTATTTGGAGATCCTAATGCGATCTTAAAGCGTTCCCAGGCACCGAATATATAGATACATATATATATATATATATATATATATATATATATATATATATATATATACATGCGTAATATATACACATATAGATATGTACGCATACACACACACATATATATGTGTATATATATATATATATATATATATATATATATATATATATATATATATATATATATGAGTATATATCTATGCGTATATATGCGTATATTACTCGCTGAGAGCAGAACGTGGCATTTATCTTCATCGCATATAATATACGCTGCGAACGAGGGATCTCTTACCCCTGCTTTGTCCTTTTGGTCCAGCAGCTGGCTGTGCGTGTTGAGCAGGAGACCCATGGTGCGGGTGTAGCCTTCACGGGCGGCCAGGTGCAGGGGCGTCAGGCCCTCAAAGTCCCGGTTCAGAAGAGCCCCCTTGCCGATCAGCAGGTGCACGACGCGCAGGTGTCCTGGAAGCGGGCATCGATTTCGTATACGATCACGTCACGTTATACGTGTGAGTAGGATTTTGTTAATGAGGCCATGCTCTGCCACAGAAAGGAGCTGAGGAATTTCACTAATGTGAGAGACAAACTTTTATCTCCACGAGCCTAATCTCCCGCGCATCGGCAAATAGCTAATGTTTCGTTTGTTTTGCGGTGCATGGTCAAAGTTTGTCCAATGTCTAAACTGTAAATTATTAGCAGGGCACCACCCGAATTAAAACCTTGTAAATTTTAACGTCCATTGATCACGAGCCCAAAACCATGTGCGGATTAGAAATGTCATTTCTGGCCTTCCATATTCAAAGTGTTACCAAGTGCTTGGCTGTTTCTCCACCGCTGGTACAAACCACTGCAGTCGCAGCACAACCTTTTGTGATCTTGGCAAAGCAAGATACGTCGCAATGTTAAGATGCCTTGCAACGGTGGCCCGGGGCGGAGACGTCTGACTACCAAGAAAACCGTGGCCCATACGGTTTTGTTGGTAGCCAGACGTCTCCACGTAGGCCAGCCCAATGCGTCCCCCGCGTCACCTCGCGCCAGCACCCACCGTTCTCGCTAGCGATGTGCAGCGGGGTTCGACCGGCGTAGTCCATGCCGTTGATGATTTGCTGACCCTTGGCGGAGCCCAGTAGGGAGTCCACGGTGTGGTACCGGCCGAATCTGGCGCCAGAGTGGCGGGGTCAGAGTCCGCCACTGTTGACGGGGCGTCAAAATTGGACAGTCGTTGCTATTAATTTTTGGATGGCACATATCATCAATTTACGGTGTAGTCGTCGATGTCGATCGGCCATCGGAGTGCATGGGCGTGATCGCGCCATTCATATGCGTTATGACTTCTGGGTAATTATTGTGTGCTAATGAATACTTTGCGGTTTATTCACTTGAATTTGCAAATTGTCAAATTTTGTAGATACCAGGAATATCCGATTACGCTGGATGTCCTGTACGACTAGCCGTTGACTGCAGTGACGTGGAGACATGAAACTTCCGTCACGTCGCCAAGCAAGCTGAACTCGGCTTTTGTTCACACATGTACACATCGTTCTTCCCATGGCGTGATGCAAATTGGTCAAGTGTTCTGGAGGAGCATTACACAGTATCAGTGAAGGGCCGTATTTAGTGATGTTCGCACAGTTCCAACACTACATTAACTCACTCCACCTATTGACCAAGTGCACTGCAACACAGGAAAACGACAATAGCTTCCTTCCCTTTCTGGACATCCTTTCATGTCGTGATACTAGAAGTAAGTCGTCATACACACAACACATACAGAACAGAACTGCACATAAGAGAAGCGCACTCCAAAAAAGTACTACGCTTTCATTTCGCCACCCTCGCCTCTCAAGAGAAAACGCAAAGAGCAGAGCCATTCGCCCCAGTAACCCATAATAATACCGGATAATACCGGATAATACCGCAAGCCGCGACACGCAGCATCAATCGCGTCATACGCATTTTCCAAACCAACAGTTACCCATCAAAACTCATATTCAACACAGCCCAGCAAATCAGGGGCAAGACGCTCAGGAACATGACACTTAGAGGCAGAACATTCATCAACAGAACACTCAGGGACACAACCTTCACGGGAACACGGCTCAGCGACACAACCTTCGCGGGAACACGGCTCAGCGACACAACCTTCACGGGAACACGGCTCAGCGACACAACCTTCACGGGAACACGGCTCAGCGACACAACCTTCACGGGAACACGGCTCAGCGACACAACCATCGCGGGAACACGACTCAGCGACTCAACCTTCACGGGAACACGGCTCAGCGACACAACCTTCACGGGGACACGGCTCAGGGACACAACCATCGCGGAAACACGGCTCAGGGACACAATCTTCACGGGAACACGGCTCAGCGACACAACCTCCAGGGGAGCACGCTCAGGGACACAACCTTCACGGGAACACGGCTCAGCGACGAAATCAAACAAAACGAACGTAGCATGTATCTCTCAGCTGTTTGCGTTGACTCCAATAAACACAATACGATTATTTGGACTTATCTACCCTATGCTCAGTCTATCTGCAGAGCACAAAACGTGGACGGTTTTTGTCCTCAACTTTTCCACCGAGCTGCCGATGTCTCCCAGTATCGCACTTGAAGTCACCCGAGTACTGGTCACGCAGCTAACTTATTAAGCAATCAATTCTCTACGTAACAACGCTGAGCAGAAACTTCAATCCTTGGGGGATAATGCCGGTAGAGTGAAGGCAGTCATCTGAATGAATGTGGAGAGGAATAGGACTGTGTGCGATTAATGAGTATGGGTCAACATCTGCCTTGCGGTACGCAATAGTAATCACTGAGATACGGTTGTTGTAATGTATGGAGTATATGGATCCGATACATAATGTACATTTTTGCATCACGCATTTCCAAGTACACGCTACCAGCGGTTTCACACTAGTGACAGTGTGGATTTCATGAAATATTTTCACCTATCGATTTTGAAGCAAAGATACGCATCCTCATGCAAGCATTGGTTAAGCATATTGACACAAAATGTTGAACCGGTTCCCTCTACCCTGGAGTTTAATCCATATGTAGCCTCAACACCAATGTGAAACACCGACGAAAACCCGGTAGACCCTTTGACAAAAACCCTTAGTTCAAAAAACCCTTCCTGGGATCGGTTTAGCAAATGGTTCATTGGACAATATAAAGTGAAAAGCGAGCACTAGCAGTTTATTCGGTGTAGTCAGTTCATGTCTGCTTTGTTCATCACATCCACATTTCCTGCGTCTTCTGGCAGCTCTGGCTTCTTTGTTTCGTTAAATATGGCAAAAAAGGAAAACATGACACAGTGGTAATAACCTTTTTACTCACAGAAAAACCATTAGAATGAGGATATAGATGCGTTCAAATTTCAACAACATACCTTTACCAAAAGGATAGCAGAATATTCTGCACTTTTGCCATTCGTTTCGATAAACGCATGTTGCCGAAATGTCAACGCATCTATAGTCCAATTCTACTGGTTTTTCTCCGAGGAATACGGCAATTGCTGCTGCCTTATATATGTGAATAGTGTTTCTCACAAACGCACTTTACAACTTACGTAAAAAGGAAACGTTCACTCAAAACAAAGCGAGCCAAATCCGGTGAACATTTTGTTCAAGGATAGGAAATAAATTTTTGCTACTCAATTTGTCGCATTTCGTCGACTGCCCGCACGCGCCCTTAAAAATCGCCACAAATATTTTCTTTTCAAGATCTTCCTTAATTTGTCTGGATGTTGGGCCCATCGCCGCCAGAGAAAGCCCACGACGTTTAAGGAGTTCTTGAAAAGTTGTTTTGCCCCTTAAAAAATTGATCCGCCGCCAATGCACTGTGCTCCGTCTCCGAGGGTTCTACGGCAGAACCCTCGCAGAGGTAGAACTACTACCTACGTTCGGTGTTTCTGTATGCGCCTCGGCACACTCCCTGACCGTGTGGCGCAGCGAAGCGGGTTCTGTGTTCCACGCTGTGCTCCGTCCTCGAGTGTTCTGTCTGTGTCCGTCTGTGCGCCTCGACACGCTCACTGACCGCGCGGCGCAGTGCAGCGGGTTCTCGTTGTTGGCGTTCTTGACGTCCGGGCAGGCGCCGTGCTCCATCAGATCCTGCAGGCACTGGATGTGGCCGTCCCGAGAGGCGTAATGCAGCGGCGTGCAGCCCAGGCTGTCCTGGCAGTTCACCATGGCCGCGAACGCGCTCGCATTGCTCTGTCGGCCGAGCGGCAGGCCAGGGACACCAGTTAGTAGCCTCGCGGTGGCCGCGGCTGACCAACGACGCGGTCGGCGCTCGGACATGTGCGGTTGGAGACATGGAGAATGCGGTATGGCGAGCGTAGTGCTGGTCTCGCCGATTTTCTTTGCACTTGCAAATAATTGAACTTCTTGCCCTTTGAAGCGCTTTGTCCTCCTGCCTCCTGAGTCTCTCAGCCAGATTTGAAGCATAATTTTGCCTCAGCTTTTTCTACCGACGCGCACGACTACGCCCGCGATCACACCGGGCGTAGTCTTATGACCAGTATGACCACTACACCTGTATGACCAGAAGCCGTTCGAAGCAGTGTACATGGACTCACCACCTGGCATAAGTAGGAAGAGGATAAAATAGCGTAAACCCATAGACGAAATAGGCAATCAAGCCTCATGAGGTAAACTTGGTGCTTCTCATGCATTAAAACATGGTTGGGATTGTTCTGATTCTTAGCAGACTGGCGGTCAAAGCATGAATGTATTTTATTAGTACGAACATGCCAGTGTATTCTACTGTTGAAATGAGTCGCGTCGTTTGGGATATTATCGGGACTCTGACGCTGGTCACCCGAGCGCTGGTCGCTCGGACACAGCTGGTCGCTCGGGCGCAGCTGGTCCCCGACAGGACTCTGTGATACAATGCACCGCAAGCGGCGAGGTGGCGGCAGGCGGCCGCCGCACGCCTCTCACCGCGTCGGCGTCGATGAGCTCCTGCAGCTTGCCGCCGTTCAGGACGAGGAAGTGCAGCAGGTTCCTATCTTGCCGGTCGGTCGGGTCCGGCGACGCGCCCAGCGCCAGCAGCGCGCGCACCGCGCTCCACGAGCAGCGCGCCGCCGCCAGCAGCATCGGCGTCCGCTCCTCCGAGTCCAGCGCCGACACTTCCGCACCCTGCCGGGACAGCTCTGGTCAGGTATGCTCAGATCCCCGAGAGACTCCTCCGAATCCAGCGCCAACACGTCCGCACCCTGCCGGGACAGCTGTGGTCAGGTATGCTCAGGCCCTCGAGAGCCTCTTCCGAATCCAGCGCCGACACATTCGCGACCTGCCGGGTCAACTCTGGTCATGTCTGCTCAGGCCCACGAGGCAGAGGCGGCAGCGCTCCTCCGAGTCCAGGGCCGACACGTCCGCACCCTGCAGGGCAGATGAGGAACAGTGTAATAAAAAATCGAGTGGTGAAATGCTTCAAAAATAACGCCGCTGCGAAGACCAGTCGTATAATTTTTTAAAAAATCCACCACACTGACGATCTTCATAAAAGTAACGCATTTCTCTGGGCAGAATAAATAAGCAAGAGCTTAACTTCATAACATATGCAGCTCTTGGAAACTCACCACAACGCAAGACACAAAACGACGAGGATCATTCTGCATTAACTCTTGATACATGGGTCAGTCTTTTGTCATTTTCCTTCAGATGTATCGTACGTATTTTGATCGTTGGCTGGTTCCATTGACAAAATGTGCAGATGTTATAGATTACCTCTGCAGCTTAAGGCCATTGCTGCTCTCTAATGAACTACCGCAAATAGGCAAGAGCGTCTTCAGTTACAGGCACGGTATCACACAAAGGATTGCTTTCAACGAGAATGCCCACAATTCAGCCCAAGTATGCATTTGACTTACACAGCCTTCATATGAAGCCATCTTTGTGGGCTCTTCCACTTAACTGGTGTCAGATTGCACACATTAGGCTTCACTTTCAAATCTTAAGGGACACTGGGCCAGAACGGATCTCAAGGCGGAGCCGACAACGCTTACCCAAGTTCGTTGATAACTTGTTCGCACTCTGCCAGGTCAGGCCAGATCACGAGCAAAATAAAAAAATAGAGGCACCATTACGGGTCCGGAGACATGTCAGCACGTCCTCTCAGGTCAGGTCAGGTCAGGTCAGGTCAGGTCAGGTCAGTAGACTGTTCATATTTTTACGCTTCCTCAGGTCAGGCCAATGGACTGCTCATGTTGGCACGTTCTCTCAGGTCGGGTGAGGTCAGGTCAATAGGCTGCTCATGTTGGCATATCCTCTCAGGTCGCGTCAGGTCAGGCCAGAGCACTGCTCACCTGCCGGCAGAGGAACTCTACCAGCACGGCGTGGTCGAACTTGGCAGCGCAGTGGAGCGGCGTCATGTCGGCGGAGTCGCGCATATTCAGCACGGGCCATTTCACCTTGGGCTGCAACGGCGTGGGGAGAGTGGCGTCGGTGAGAGGTGGGAGGGCAGCGACGCCGCTGGGTGGTGAGAAAGGAGCAGCGCCGCTGAGCGGAGGGAGGGGAGCGGCGCCAGTGAGTGGAGGGAGGGGAGCAGCCACGGTGACCTGAGGGAGGGGAACAGCGCCTGTAAACCAAGGGAGGGAAGCAGTGACAGTGAACGCAGGGACGAGAGCAGCGCCAGTGACCTGGAAGGGAAGCAGCGCCATTGAATGGAGGGAGGACGGCAGCCCCAGCGACCTGAGGGAAGGGAGCAGCGCCGGTGAGCGAAGGGAGGGGAGCAGGTGCCGGTGAGCAGAGGGAGAGAAGCAGCAGCAGAAGGAGCGAGCAAGGCCTGTGAGCGGAGGCAGGGGAGCAGGTGCCGATGAGCGGGAGAAAGCTGGTGGTGCCTGTGAACGGAGGGAGGGAGGGAGCAAGACAAATAGATTGAAAAGACTCATCACCCCAGCGCTGGCGATTTTTTTCCGTTTGGTTCTAAACGCGGGACTCCAACATAATGCATAGCAGCATCCACACACCCAAACTTCATGGAACGGCCATATTTACCCCGAGAGCCGAAATTCAAGTTCTTACATCAACCTGTACTTTTGAAATGCGCTGTAGGCGGACCTGCTCTGCGGAAGCTTGCACCGAAAACTCGCGCACAATCTGCTACAATCTTCCAAGGTTACTTTTAGAAGAACTGCTTCCCGTTCTTGTCGCCATGGCTGGAACCATTTATGCTGTCGCCCCACCGTCATTCAACCCCCAATCCAGGCTTTCGGGTCCTTGACATGGGGATTTGAGTGCTGCTTGTGAAAAATGAACCGATACTCCGCTGCATCAACCGCGAACACTTCCTTTCTTGAAATGGCTTTTGGAACACTCCTCACTCGCCACGGCCAGGCTACCGTGGAGCCAAAGATCGTGATCACCCCACCTGTGCGCTGAACATGAGCTGTGTGATCTTCAGCGAGCCCTGCACGCAGGCCAGATGGACGGGCGTGGAGAGATCATCCTGCTGACTGGTGATATCGGCACCGTGCTGCAGACACAGCTCGACCGCCTGTCGCACGCACCGCCAAGCGCACGGGCGGCCAGGTCAGGCCAGGTCAGGTCAGACACTACCCCGACGCTCCAGAAACACACCGTGGGGGGTGGGGGGCGGGTTGGACGCCTTCACATGGTGGCCAGTGGCCACCGTATAGGAACGGCCATCGCCCCAGAGAGAACAGTGCAAAGCTAAATGCATCAAGTCGCGATAGGAGTTTTCATATTTGTTCCCAACTGATTGTGTGGGTGGCTTTCGGTTCAGAGCACCTGCTAAGCATGACGTGTACCCTAAATCCACCGCCTAAGTTGCGTCGCCCGAGTGGAGAGCCAGGTGCAGCCACAGATAACTGCGGTACTGACCTGGACACCGCCCGAGTGGACAGCCAGGTGCAGCGACAGATCACTGCGGTACTTACCTGGACATCGCCCGAGTGGACAGCGAGGAGCGGCGATAGATCACTGCGGTACTGACCTAGACATCGCCCGAGTGGAGAGCCAGGCGCAGCAACAGATCACTGCGGCACTGACCTGCACATCACCCGAGTCAGTCAGTGGACAGCCAGGTGCAGCCACAGATCACTGCGGTACTGACCTGGACATCGCCCGAGTGGACAGCCAGGTGCAGCGGCAGGTGTCCCTCGGCGTCCGGGCTCTGCATCAGGGAGCAGCCGTTGCGCTCTGCCCAGCCGGTGAACACCTGCATCGTGGCGAAGCTGGCGCGCCGGGACGCCTCGTGCACCGGCGTGAAGCCGTTCTGACAGAACCGCTTCGGCACCATGTTGAAGTCGTCCAGCTGCGGAGGCAAGGTGGTGAGGCGAAGGCGGAGAATGTGTTTGCGCTGGGTCAGGAGCCCGGTGCAAATATCTATATATATATATATATATATATATATATATATATATATATATATATATATCGGATTCACTCAGGGGGCGTCTATTGCGTCTCTGAGCTTGGCAGGAAGTGCCATCAACCCCATTTATCTCATTAAATGGAGAGTGTTCCACATTTGCGTGGGGTTTTGAAGTGAAATAGCTACCTTTAAGGTTATTCGGTTCAGTTCACAGCCCGTCTTTCTTAAGACCCAAACATGTCTTGCTACTGGGCTAGACGCCCACAGATATGTGCGGCCAATTTCAGGGAGAGTATTTGAAAGTCACCCAGGCATCCATGACGCCATAATAACGTCATTCAAAACCTTGCTATTTCATTTGCCATGCGACGATCAAGGGCAAGAAAAATATCAGTGTTGAGTCGTTTGTGCCTGGCATTTGTGAGCACGATTTCCAGACATGACGGATGTCAGTTGCCTCTCGAGTAATGCTGTGCAAAAGACGACGACGCAATCAAACAATGAAACATTGCGGAACATATAAACTAGCAGGAAATATGTGCTGTCTAGAACAGTATTTTCCACTTAGGATTATAAAATAGTTATAAGTGAACTTATTTTATAATGTCTGATGCTTACGTCAATATTTTCAAATGTTGAGTATCCCGTTTACCCCAATGAGAAGCCTGCCAACTGACATGGGCAGCAGACAGCCCCGGCGGCCCGCCCTCGGCCGGGCTGTTGCGCTCCTCACCAGGATGCGCGCGCAGTCAGCGCGGTTCAGCACGGCGGCCACGTGCAGCGCGTCGCGGCCGTGCTCCGTGAGCTGGGCGCAGTCGACCAGGTGGCGATAGCGCACCAGCAGGCGCAGCACGTGCGGACGGTCCAGCCAGACGGCCAGGTGGAACGGCGAGCGCTGCGACGCGTCCAGCACGTCGACGCGGGCGCCGCTGCCGGCCGGGCGTCGGGTCAGACGGCAGGACAGGCAGCACGGTCACCAAATGGGGCCGGCAACGTGATCGCCTGGATGCGCAGCGCTGGTCGCCGAGCATTTTCGGAACTTAAGGTGGATGCCTTCAGGATGAGTGTGGGATCACGCAGTTTGGGCGGGATTTAGGTAAGTAGGGTTTACTAAGTGCTGTGGCATTGCTCTAATGCGAAATGTGGCCAAAGTGGGGTTAGGGAACTTCTTGGCATGGCTGTGGTTCCTGTTGAGGTCTGAGGGTTCCAAACACTCCGGACCACGGAAGACCGGAAATGTGGCGGGTTCGAAGGGGCCCAAGAGTCCTTTCCTTTTTCAACAGTCCGTGACAAGATGTAAAAGGACAGAAAGTCAAAGGACGATTAGCCAAAGGGCAAGAAGTCAAACACAAGAAGTGAAGCAGGATAAAAACTATATGCAACACACAACCGGATAAGCATTCGAAAACGAAAAATTCAAAAATTCAAAATCCAAAATGTCACAATGGTTCAAGTTATTTTAGCGAGCAGTTAAAGTTATGTGAGCTTTAACCAGCGGGGCCCAGCCTATTGTCACGCGGGCAAGAAGTCACGGCTTAAAAGGGATGAGAGCCAAAGGAATTTAAGTAAAAAAGGCAAAAACAATCCAAAGCATAAACGTCGAGTGCCAAACATCAACTGTGCAAACAGCCAAAACGGAGTAGAAATCAACTGGATAAAAGGAGAACGGGGTGTCAAACAAAACACACCCGTCCTAACCAGATGGTCTGGCTTTCATAGGGTTTGCCAATGTACCAAGGGCCTTTGGTCAGTTGCTTGTCCAGAGAGACGGGTTGGGGGGGGGAGGGGCGCCTCCGCTTAGCCAGTGGGGCCCACCCCATGGAAAGTCTGGCGTGGAAGGTGCGGAAGGTGGAAAAGTGTCGGAGTTGGAATGGAATGGGAATGAAATGACCCTCCGCATGGTGTTAGGTGTCTTGATGCGTGATGATTTTCCGTCCTGTGATGTCTTTAAATATACATTATCTTATAGCTTCCGCTTTGAGCCCGTCAATCTCAGAACATCATAGTACATCAAGAACATCATAATCATAAAAATCTGCCGGCTGACGTCATGGCGTATTTTCATTTAAGGGAAGACTTTTCAGGGGCCTCCTAGACAAAATGGGGTGCTTGGAGGCGACTTTTCAAGCGACCTCCTGAGTTTAGGTGGGAAGAGGGCAAATACGACATATTCGTTCTTCTTCTATTGAAGACCTATTCGCAGCGACCTATTCATACTCCTCAAAACCGTATATAGCGGGCTTCCCAAATTCGGAGTTGAAATTGAAGCTCGCCTTTCTTCAAGTCATTTTGCAGTCTTGGAAGGTGAAGGAAATCCCATTTCTGTGGGTTACTAGAGGGAATGAGGAAATTGGTCCTCATGATGCCCAATTTTAGACCAGTTTTAGACCAATTTTAGACCAATTTTAGACCAGTGACATCTGGATACTCAAGTATTTAAGCGTTACCTTGCTAGGCAGGCCTCATTGCTACGGACAGGCAGTTCATTCATTTGTTCCTTAGTTGGAAACGTCATTCATTTCAAATGTGGCCAGGTTTGTTTGCTGCTGACCAGCCAGACTTGTGATAGCCATAGACCAAGACTGATTTGAAATCAGGAGCACGGCTTGAGGTAGGCGCTGATTGCTGCCGATCCAACTCATGTGTGCTTTATAACGTCGTATGGCAGCACTTCCCGGTAAACTGTAGGTCAGCCACTCAGCATAGGATCTCTATACACATAAATCCCAGTTTCTCAGGAGAAAACGGCATATGCCAGCCTGGCACTCATCATTTTGGGATGCAAACCTGATTGTTGCCGATTCGAGCACATATGATATGGTCATTGTGTCTGCTTAGGGAATTTGGGGAATGGGGGAAAAGCCTGTGCATGGGAGTACCGGTCAAAAATTGTCTGGCACGGCCAATATTCATGGCTTTATTTTTAAAAAAAACATGTATAGATACAGCTATATGTCAAGGCTATATGTTATGGCTATATGTTCCAGCACAGGCGGAATGATCACAAGCTCTGGCGTGAAGTAGGACCCCCAAGCCAATTACCGGCTTCCACATTCCAACAACGGCTCTTAGACTGTCACAAGGGCCTTCTAGAGCAGGAGGTCACGTGATAAAGGAGTCTCCAAATCCAGAACACGGGCCTGCTAATTCATGGAAGGTGCCACCTTATCCGGAACAGAGTTCCTCTGATTCAAAGAGAGGGCCTCCCGAGTCATCCCAACCCCAACACAAAACGAGGGATTCTGATCCAAGACAGGACCTGACTCATTAATTAAGGGGCTTCCTGATCCGGAAAAATAAACTCTTGATGCAAAAAAGAGCTACCTGAACCAAAGAAAGAACCTCCTCAGCTAGGGGGCCTTCTCTATCTGAATTTTGAAAACATCTTTCCACTCGTCTATAATGAGGCGCGTGCTAACGTGTAAAAGCAGTCCAACCTGCCAAGTAAATAGGACAAGCAGGCCTCGTGACGAGGTGGGGGGCATGGAATGCTCCGGTTTTGGTCCGGGAGGAGCCTCTCGCAAGCGACTTCTTCAGGGCCCCGGAACCTGTTTTACTTTGAGAACATCATTTGACTTTTATCCCTTTTAACGTTTTGCGCATTTCACTTTTTGCATTTTACTTTTACCTTTGTGACTTGTATGATTTGACATGTTGTCCTTTTTACTTAATGCTGTTTTAATTTTATCTCTTTGACGCTTATTCCTTTTGAAATTATGCGATTCGACTTTTGGCTTCTTTGTTGTGCCTCACTTCAGTTGTTCATTGATAGTAGAATTCAGGTCCGGTCACTGGACACTTTTTGTCTTCTTTTTCAACTTTAAAACTCGGTTTTTACTAATGCATAGATTAGACAGTACTACAAGCTTTATTCCTAGGAGAAAACCCAAGAGAATAATAATAAAATAATACTTATGTCTTACTTCCGTGAATAATGTTCCTCGCTAATGCACTAAGTAACTTCCGTAATTTTACAACTGCATGTTAATCACAAAATTGGCTCCAAAACATAAGTGGATCTCAGCAACATTTCAGGCGTGGTTACATCAATGAAAGATGGGCAAAGTTGGGAAACTTTGGCAACATGCATTGGGCTATTATTCAAACGGCAAATGACACTGAAGTAGAAAAGAACACCATGCATCCGCGATTTGGGTGAGTCAAAATCAGGAACGAAAGGCGAGCTAAGCTTCCGTATGAAAAGGGCAATTAGTGCCGGATGGAACCAGCGGAAAGCCGGCCCTGGCAAATTGGTGGTAACACATGTCAGGTAATTGCTCTAACGGTGACAAATGTTTGGGCTTATGCAGGAATGTTCTACGCCTGTGGCTCGTCATAACGTGTAACAGGCTTTCAACTGCCACCAGGTGTGCCCGCTGGTTTATCGCAAGTTCCATTTCTCTTGAAAAATCGGGATCGATGGGTCTCTCAAAATAAGTGGTCTCAAATCGAGGTGTTGTAAAATTGGAGGTTTGGGCGATTGGGCCATTTTGTGCTGAATTGGACCCAAATGGCCCAGGCCCCTGAGTCTTGGACCTGGCCCCAACACACACACATTCTTTCCGAGAGCGATTTCCAGTCCTGGCTCTCGGTGTCTGCTACACACATCCTCAATATGGCCGACTTTGGCCAAGTCTTATGCTCTATAAATGGATTAAACGCCACTTGACTGTACCATAGGAATGACAGTGAATGAATGAATGAAAGAAAAATGACAGTGACAGTGAGTGACAGTGAATGTCTTCGCTTACCAGTCAAGAAGACAGCCAAGGGCATCTAGCGAAGAGCTCTCGACAGCAGTATGAACAGGCGTCTGTCCCTGATCATCGGTGGTGTTCATATCTGCGAACACAAGCAAGCCGATATACGCATTGGTCGGACGGCTTCCATATCTGCTCATAAGCCATGGCCGGTACACTCACCCACGTTGTGCAGTTGATATCAGGTCTTGATTTCTTCATGCTGATGTAATCAGCATTCAGACCCAAGAAAGTCTCAAAACAAAAGGATCAGTGGCTGTACACGATTGTGTACGTCGGTCGGCTCACATCGACCCGCACTTTCGCCAGCACGGTTGCCTTTTTCTTCTCCGTTATTTGTTTTCTTCCTCGGTCACTGGGACGTAAAGTCGTCGACCGGTTCAGATCCGCGTTCTTCAGCTATTTCTTAATTTTAAAAGCAGCATTTTGCATGTCTATCAAACAGGGTCGGATCCAGAGGTGGCCGCAGGACAATGCCCCTTCCACCGGGGCCACCCCTGATGTTCTGATGCTTCAAAAGGGCGCCAAAGTGCCAAAGTGAAGGGGTACCAAAACCTTGAATAGCATTGTATAGCATAACCTAAATTTTGAAGTCCCATATCACAAAAGTATATGACTTATTACATATGTCAAGGGGCAGCAACATATAATATCGGAACAACATACCATAAATTTCAAGAGGCACTCGGTGCCAGGGTGCCGTGAACGTTCCCAAAAACCTTTATTTTTTAGGGCTACTAAGCTTTAGAGGCACCGCATTGGCCATGCCGTCTCTCTTGTCGAAATCCTGGTCACGTCCACTCGTTGGGCGGGGGGGGGGGGGGGGGGCACAACATTCGTTTCGGGGCGCCGCTCTATTTGCAAGAGACGCTAAATTCAAGGGGTTTATATAAAGGGTCTCAGAGCGTCATTCTCAGGGAGCCCCAAATTCCAGTGTCACTACAACATTGTGTCTCCTTCTAAAGAAATCCTAGATCAACCCCTCGGCGTGGGGTACCAACAACATTCATTTTGTGACGCTGTAACCTTTCTTCTCAAGACGCACAAAACTCCAGGGCACAAAAAAGGGACTCAGTACTTCCATATCCGAGATTTATCAAATTCTAACGGCACCAGAATACCCGTTGAGGGAACTATGGATCGTGCTATTTTGCGAGGGGGCACCGACATATTTATTTCGGGGCACGCGGTTGTGACAACTGAGCCCGGTGGAGAAAACATCGGACACTTCACTCCACAGTCTGGCAAGGCTTGTGTCTATAGCCTTGAGGAAGCCCATGGGCTAGCTCACTAATTCTAGGCAGCATCCTGCGAATATGGCGGTGGCGTGACCGTCCTTGGGTATGGTAACAAGACGCCCTCGCGACATCTGCCGACTATCTAAACTGGTCAGCAAAAAACCCGCCCACTAATTTATCTGCCAAACGAATGTTGATGAGCTCAGTCTGCGGCAGCAGTTCAAGGAGTTCGATGGTGTGACTACTGGAACGAAGTCGTTCGAGGGACCGTTCCGTAAGGCGGCTGCAGGAACAGGGCATGAGCTGCCTGCCGTCCCACTCAGTCTTACCAAAGATGGCGTCGCCGATTTGTGACGCATCATCATGATCATCATCATTATATTACTAAAGGAACAGTGTGTGTGTGTGTGTCCGTCAGTAGACCTACAGGCTTAACAGTCGGGAGTTTTTGCATAAAATTTGCACACGACCGAGATCCGCCGGCTGCGCTTGACAGAGTCGCGTAAAATTTTCGCATTTCGCAAACTGAGCGCGTGGCGAAAAAAGCGCAAAATCCCATAGGGTTAACTCGGGCGACGCCAGTTTCAAGAAGACGATCCGGCAGACGGTCCGACACGCCTCGCTACCCGGAGCTGTATCCCGGTAACCAAGGGTCGAAGCGACGTGAAACTTGCGCAGTCCGATAGCGCATGGAATGGGCCATCGTAATCGGGTGAGATTTTTTGCGTCCCGTGACACGTGGTACGTGCACACGTGTTGACAAGTTGAAATCGGCCGTGTTTGACGTGGGTTTACGTTTACCGTTATATCTCGGCACGGAAAGAATGTAGAGCTCTGAATTTTCTTTCCCAACGTCTACAGTTGAAGCGGATACATTTCCAGTGCGCATTGCGAGTTTGTGCAAACACCGTTGTGCTGTAAATTGCATTACAAGTTGCAACGGGCCGAGTTTTCAAAATCGAGGCTGAATACAAGCCGCTACTGTCAAAACTATGCGTGATCTAGCTTTGAAAACTACATTAGCGTGTCGGCCGCTTCGTCCTGTCTCTGTTACACTCTTTTGTTGACCGCATTTTAAAAATGTCGTTCGCAAACGGGTCTATACTAAGGGGTTGCATGACGGCATTTTCGCCGCGACGGCGGCAAGCTGCTGCCCCGACTCCCGGCGTACGCCCCAGGCGTTAAGGGTTCAAATGGCCGTTCACGCGGCGGGCTTTCGACTTTGTTCAATTAGCCAAGCACGATCATTCAGGCGTTTGTTCAGTCCGTCCGGCAGGGGACCGGCGGGTGGGTCGTGAGGGGAAAGGGATGGCCTTGGATGAGGCATGGCGGTCGGCGGCGCGCTGTGCGTTGCGGTCGCCGTGCGCGTACAGGCGTGGCTTTTGTTTCCCAACATTCGCAATTGACGCGACTACACTGTCAGTCGTATCGCGAGTTTCTGCAACGCACCGTTGCGCTGCAAATTGCACGACAGCTTGCAAGATGCCAGATTTTAATAATCGAAATGGTACGGTCACACGTATGACACGGCACGGGATCACGGATGGATTTTGCGCTCGTCCACGGGTTCGCACCCTTTGTGCCACATTTCGGCACCTATGGCACTAACGCACCCGGCATTGGCGCGCTTCATTGATAAATGGACGGAACGAGATGATTATGTTTCGTGACAAGCGCCACATGTCATGGCGCCCATGCTTTAAACTATGGATTTAGACAATTTCGGTCTTTTGAGGGACTTGCACGTTTTCGTGATATCTCAGAAACCAGAGAATAAAGTGCACAGCGACTGGCATGCTTCGATAGGTGGTCTAACCGGTAATTACTGAAACGTGTACGATGTCACGCCACACGTGTCATGTGACACGTGCACATAAGCTGTGAAACTGCATTTCGCCGATTTCGTGCATTTTTGCGCTTTACGCGGGATTTCCGTTCCTATGGCACGTAGCAACACACTGCGAATGGTATGCTGCGATAGGCCATTGAACGGGAAATTCTATGGTCACATGTGTCACAAGTGCGGGGTGACACGTTACACGTGTCGGGCACACACGAGCCAGGAAGATGATTTTTGCTTTTTCCACGGATTCACAAGCTTTGTGCCACATCTCGGCACTCAGGGCACGGAGGTTATGGAGAGTGGCATGCATTAACAAGAAATCGCACCGATAATGGCGTTGCATGAATTGTCACGCCGCACGTGCTGTATGGATCGATGGAGAATCGAACAATTACGTGGTACAGATTGCAGCGCCACGTATGCGCGAGCCAGGAAAATTGATTTGGCAGCTACCGACCGTTTTTCACTCTTCGATACAATGCAATACAGTTTGATACAACGGCAGTGCGTGCTGCCATCATTCAAAAGGCTGACAGTTGATAGAAGGGACAAAAATCACCGGCCACACCCCACGATCATTCGCTCATCCCATGAAATAGGTTCGGCTGCGTTGCAGAGAGCGCAAGCGAAATGGGCTCACTCGTGTCGGCGGCCGCCACGCCGTCGGCACCGCGCGCTGCCTGCGCCCGAGGGTTTTTCACACTGCGCGATATCTCGGCAACCAGGCCATCTGGAACCGCGAGTCTAACTGCATAAGACACGTAACGAAAATTTCCAAATTTTTCACTTGGCGCAGCGAAGCAAGCGCACAAGCGTTTGTTTCTTAACTAAAAGAATAAATGTCAGGGTACTGCGCTTTGTGTGACCGTGGCCTTTGACCTTGACAGCCATGGGCGCAAAATGACCCTAGAAGTCGACGCGCCCTAAAACCCCAATCATCATCATCCCACTGACAGCCAGTTTTTGTTTGCGTAAGGAAAGTAGACATCGCGAGCATCAAAATAATGCCACTTTCATTGTCTTTCTTGATTCAACAAATAGAGGCTAAAGAACCGCTTCTGTGTGGCCTCGACCCTCTACTTTCATATTTTCTGGATGCATCGAATGAAGACACCGCAGGCATCACTGTAGTACCCATTTTGTTTCATTCATTTGGTCAACGGAGAAATGTCAAGGAACTCCGTTTTGTATAACCTTGACCTTTGACCTTGCGAGTTTTGCAAGAGTGTCGAAAGTGGACATCACGAGCATGACCTTGACACCTCTTTTGTCGTATTTGTTTGTGGTAAAGGAATAAATGCTAGGGTAACGTGCTTTCCGTGACCTTGACCCTTGACCTTGACATTAACTTTTCGCTACATTCTACCACTCGACCACGGATTGCCACAGCTTCACACAATAAAAGACTTCCGAAAGCATGACTCAACGGACACCGCCGAGGTAATCGCTTAGTAATGATATTTCCCGTGCGCCCACGTGATATTCATGACGCTGCGTCATCTGTTCCAGCTGGTTGTCCCGCCCTCCGTGGAGGCTGACACTGCCACCGGCTCCTTTCGGAAAGGCCGCGATCGCCGTATCGATCATAGCCGGTTTCCCTGGGCAGCTTACACACTGCCTACACCAGCCACGGTGGATACGGCCTTGGCTAGGGCCGCGACGCCACCGCCACGACACCGGCCAGACCCAACGATCTGCGGGACTTACCTCCGCCGACCGACGCGATGTACTTGATGATCTCGGTCTGATTGGCCATCGCCGCGTAGTGGGCGGGGCATCGGCCTCGCTGCGCATCCCTGAACTGCAGACGACTGGGATCCTCCTGGTGCAGGTCCCGAAAGGTCTTCAGGTCGCCAGCGCCGGCGCACTGGCGGTCGGGAGGCGACTGGTGACGCAGACCGAGCCGGAATCGGAGCATGACATGCACCTACCCTCTGCATGCGTAACGCCTCGGAATGAGCTGACGCAAAGAAGTGAGATCACCACAGTCTAATCATGGCGTTCGGAGACAATTCGTACGCCATGCGATAACGGCTCTAATCAGATCCAGTCAAAATTCGAATGCCTTCCCGTTAAGATGACAGGTGCACCGCACGAAGCATTCAGTGGGATGGCAGTGGTGCTGTTCGTCCCCTTCCGCACAGAGTTTGACTTGCATGTCGAGGGAACGCGGTGTACGTTTGCATGGTTACGTACCCTTAGCCTACGTGGAAAAATTAGGTACGACTCACACCGCTTTAAGAGTATGGCAGGGTAAGATGTTCAGATTTGGCGATCGTTATTATTTTTCTGTCGTTTCCTTCAGGGCGCCGCCTTTCGGCGGTATTGGTTCATAGGAACCAGAAAATAGACTCTCCCGTTTCAGACCATACGGTCCAGCGTGGAGCGGCCTCCACTTGTGCGTGCGTGCATGCGTGCGTGTGTGTATGTGTGTGAGTGGGAGTGTAAGGAGGGGTGCGTCGGCGCTGATCCGCTGCAATGTAATGGCTGCACATTTACCAGTCCCCAGTGATAGTTTTATTTGCGACGGACGAGGCTCAGAGCTGAGCCTATCGATCAGAGCGGTGTCTTACGATAACTAACTCTTCACGACGGGCGTCTTTGGGCCCATTCGTTAACTTTCAGTGAAAGCCTCATTTGCGACGGACGGGACTCAGACCTGGGTCTATAGATCAGGGAGGTGTCTTATGATAGCTAACTCTTCGCGACGGGCGTCTTTAGGCCCATTCGTCAACCTTCAGTGAAAGCTTTGTATGTCGCCGACGAGACAAATCGTTCTTCGCAACGGGCGTCTTTTGGGCTCATTTGAATGGGCCATGGAGGCAAATGGGAACCAATCGGGCTAGCTGTGCCTTGTTTCATTTTATGTCACAGCATCCTCAGAAAAAAACAAAAACGCTTGGAACCCTTGCAAGCATACGTGATGCCGGCTTTGCTTCGAAGAGCCTGCTATCACGTGCTTGGCCAACGATATTTTTAATAAAAGATTTCATTCATATAATATCATTGCAAAATTCGGCGAAAGGAGGCGTCATCGACGTCATCAAAAATCACAGCACGAAACCCAAGCCATAATCATGATCAGCTCGTTTCCGTGCAGAAGCGAGAAAACTGGACATCAGCGATGGTACCTTGCGAGGGAATCCGAGATTTCTGAACATTGCATTATTCAACATGATCCTTAACATAACACAAGAAGACGGTGGTGAACACGATGCGACGTTCAAATACTGCGGCGTAAACCTGATCAGTCTCGACTGGATCCGCTTTAGCCTCATATTGGATCTTTCTATTGCTAATCGATTTATGCTGGTCTGAAACTAAAGAGAAATAAAAATGGCATGCACTTGAACACTCCTTGCGTCCATGTAAAGCATTTTATGTGACGAGCATCTGCCAAAAAGACGAGGATAGATCATGCAGGAAGCAAACATTCCTCCATGCCTTGCCTTCCTGCACTGTACAGTAAGTCTTATAACATGGCGACCATGAGAACCCGAAATGCTGCACATGAACGCACGCATTTGGCAATATTCTAGCCTCATGAATCGTTGCACGACCATTTTGGATATGTTACTGAAAGTGGCAGACCCTCCCCTCTTGCTTTGCGTCAAAATTTTTGTGCGGCAAAGTGAAACCAACAGCCACGTTTGCCTTTTAGTGAGCATATTTGTCAGCGGCGTGGTCACCGCGCTCAGCGGCTACATCACACAATTTGTATGTGATACGTACAGACAATCTGCCACGAAAAAGATGTGTGCTACCGGGGGTGGATACCCAGGGGGTCATGGGACAGCATGTAACCCCCTCCCTCGATGGGAACGAAAAGACGCCTGGAAACGCGTTTGTAAACAACACCTCCGCAACAATGCTGGACATCGTGACCGAAAACGGATGCCTTTTAGTCACAAGCGAGTGCACATGAAGTGATATGCAAGTTTGGTGATGTGGTTTTCCAAAGTGCCTTTTAATTCACTGCCACACAGCGTTGCATTTGGGATGTTAAATTCAAAATGGCGCCGATTTGTATAAAAGCATTTGTTATCGTATTTATCCTGATCGCAGATATCTGAACATCTGAAAATTGGTATTCCTTACAGACAGTGATTGTTTTCATGTTCAAGTGTTAAGTCATAACCTGTGATTGCTCGTTTTGAATGTCATCATCAATGCAAATCTATGATATATACCGCCCCATGCGGTTATATAGTGTTCACCTCACAACATGCCGTATCCAAGTAGTGCTAAGGGGTATTGGTCGTGGTTGTAGCGTGTACTAAAATCAGTCCTCTGAGCGACTATAAGCAGCTCCAATTGATACGCGCCCGGGTGGCCGGCTGCATACCCTTTGCTCGAGTGGGGGGGGGGTCAATTTGACCGCCTGAGACTTCAGGAACTAAGAAAGCTCGAGGCACAAAATTCACAGGGTGTGTTGGTCTGTATGTGAACTCACTGTGGTCAAAGTTTGAGGGTCTTAGGCCGCGGCCTTCGGGTTAAATAAGCTCAAATAGGATCAAACCCCAGGTTGGTCGAAGTGTCCCCAGAAGCTAAATACTTGGTCTAAGCAAAAGGCTACATGCTCGTTTGAGGTCAGTGACCTTGTTTGACCTTCCAAAGGTCATGGTGACAAAAATTTTAAAAGACTGCTTCGAGTTTGCATTTTAATAAGCGACAAAGATGACGATCTAGTGTATACCACCCCTATGCAATGATATACAGTGTTCACCGCATACCTGAACATACTTATCCTCATCCTCATCACCATGATCCTTTTCATTCTCTGAATACAATAAGCAACTCTAATGACAGGTATAGATACCTCAGCATTACCCACCTAAATAGTGGTCCGTCGACCTAGATATATCTGTCCACCCCCTTGAGTTCGTTTTTCGACGTGAATTAACATGGACAACGGCAAGATAAGAGTTCATGAATGTCAAAGCCCTGTTTCAGTCGCCCCGTGCTGCCATGTTCCCGCAGCACGGCCCCGGCGCCGGATCGGCCGGTTGGCTGTCAGTGGTCAGCGGTCCCCGCTGTCTAGGACTGACGACAGCACAGTCCGCTGTCTAGGACTGACGACAGCACAGTCCGCTGTCTAGGACTGACGACAGCACAGCCCGCTGTCTAGGACTGACGACAGCACAGCCCGCTGTCTAGGACTGACGACAGCACAGTCCGCTGTCTAGGACTGACGACAGCACAGTCCGCTGTCTAGGACTGACGACAGCACAACCCACCTCTGGGTCTACGTCAGCACAGCCCGCTGTCTGGGTGGGAAGACAGCACAGCCCGCTGTCTGGGTGGGAAGACAGCACAGCCCGCTGTCTGGGCCTACGTCAGCACAGCCCGCTGTCTAGGTCTACGTCAGCACAGCCCGCTGTCTGAGTGTGAAGACAGCACAGCTTCTCACTTCGATTTCCGTCTGGCCCTTCGCTATCAGCCTGCTGTTCACCATGTCGGGACGATTCAGACGAAGCACTCTGAGATGGTGGGATCGGGACAGGGTCTGCCAGTGGTAAAAGGGTGAAGAGAGTGGGCCATACCCACTTCGCCGCGAACACAACCGTGCGCAGCGAAGCCACATACGTCACTGACTCCAGAACGGGTGGCCTAACAGTCCATTTACGTTGCAATCATGGGGCACGAAACGTCCCCAGCCATTTGATGCCATTGCCAGTCTGTCCGCGCAAAATTACTCTAGTAGAGCAGACCTTGCAGGTCAGCAACGTAATTAATAAGCATCGTGTGTTAACCCGGTAAATCATAATATCTTACCGGAATGGCCAGATGCACACACACACACACACACACACACACCACACACAACACACACACACACACACACCACACACACACACACACACACACACACACACACACACACACCACACACACACACAGCACAACACACACACACACACACACACACAACACACACACACACACACACACCACCACACACACACACACACACACACACACACACACACACACACACACACACACACACACACACACACACACACCACACACACACACACACACACACACCACACACACACACACACACACACACACACACACACACACACACACATATATATATATAATATTATATTTATATATATATATATATATATATATATATATATATATTCTACTCATTGCTCGTTCAAACGCCGGCTGCAACGGCTGACATCGGATTTGGTCGCGCTGTAGCGTATATCGTGCCTCACTGCTGCCGATTGCGGATTCTTGATACGATCCAGCTGAGTGGTGAAGCCTCGTCTCCACACTTCTGGGGCTCATTAACCCGCTTGCAAGACGATTGTTGAAATATTGATTGTCTGTGGTCGCATCAAATCGCGAGAAGTTAGGGGCAGGAGCGGTCACACATCCGGAACCTAATGCACTTTATGAGATGCGACGGAACTTAATGCCCTTTAAGAGACAATACCCCAGCATGCGACTTTGCACCCGCTAACAATGTCTGTGGATCCAAACAGCTTGTCCGCCCAATTCATGATGAGCGTGATTTGTCATGACAAAATAAATCAGGTCTGAATGATGAAGGTCATTGCCGCTTATTAGGCGTATTGTTATAATCAACCGGTGAAATAGGCCTCAAGTAAAGCCCCTATAGCCAATGTATTTACGAAGAGGTCCTAGGATTTGGCTATAAATACCTGGTCACGCGCAGATATGCGTGTTTTTATCATACTCCTTCCTTAATGTTCTGAGATATAGCTGGCTTGCTATAGGCAGTAATACTATTGCTGGACCATGTCTCATGCAAACCACTACAATAATATTGTATTATGTTTTGACCCTCACCCTGATTCGCCCTTTTTCATGACGCGGACTGCAAGGTTCATCGGTGCGACTCCGATCTGCTGTTTTCAAACTAAGAGCAATAAGGCCTCGCGAAAAAAAAAACAATAGCAGTTTGGGCTCAACGAGGTCTCGCAATCAGTAACGCGTTTTATGTTGCTAGGCAAATGATTGACTCCATTATGGCAGGTTAAGTCAGTTTTTCCTGAAAATCACACTTTTTTGGCTTTGTATGCCCATAATTATGACCATATGTCACGAGGCGACATTAAACTTAGAGAAGCATGCTCCTTGTTTAATTCTTATGTGACAGTGGTCGTCCACCGCGTGCGATCGGCGGACTCGTCCATAGGCGTAGGAACGTTAAACAGATGGGGGGGGGGGGGGGGCAAGCTCAGGGCATATTCGGGAACTTTTTCTGGAAAACAAGCCCGATGAACGGAGGGTCGTTCGTCACACACATATATATGTATGTCAAATCCGATATATATATGTGTGTGTGTGTAGAGATAGAGGTTAACGCTCTTTATTCAAACGTAATGACTGCTATTCTAGATATGCATCTAGAACTGTTTCTCACTGGTGCACATTCTTACCTATCCGACTCATCTATGTCATTTGGGAAATGCGGCTATCCAACTCCCCAAGATCATTCGTTCATTTCAACGTTGTCTTTCCTGGGGAGTCGAAATTCCACGAGCGGGTGCTAAAAATTGGGATGCAAATCGCGTGTTGGACACCCGCAACAGTACCTCTTCCGAACTATCTTCCATTACACCACAC